TTGATATATTATCACACAATCTTTCATTACATCATCAATAAGTAGTTCTCTTCTTTAGAGTAGCTATCACATCGTTACCACTTGTGGTAATATTATTAGAAATACATGCTGGTACACGTGGCCTGAAGATCAAGTTTAACGTGTACCACCGGTGGTACACATGGTACGGAGCGTGTTAAAAGATACAATATCTCAGTGATAGCAATGTACGAAACGTATTATATATTCTTTTTAATATTAAAAAGAATTCTCATTGTAATTGTCAATGTCACACACATAAATAGTCAATGTACATGTTAAGTGCCAATACCTGAATCGATTCGATGAGTATTTTCAATGTGCTCTTCCATCGTTTCATTCTCTGGCAGTATCCAATAGCAGTACTTGCAATATGTGCGCCGATGAAATTTAATGTGGGTGGATAATGACAGGAGTGTAGCAATTTGTTCGTGACAGAAATTGCACTCAAATCTCAAGGCTCGTTGCTCTGAAAACTACAATTCAAATAATTTAGACTATAATTCAAATAGTATCGACAAAAACTATTACTACATCGTCATTTTACGAGCGATAACACAATGCAATTGATAATACAAATTCTGTAATATATATCATACGATTAATAATACCAGTTGAATAATAAATAATAGGAACCACTTACATTCATTCCATCGTCGTTTTCGTTGTAATCGTTCTTTTCCGAAATAACCGTGTATTGAGGCATTTTCGAATCGGTGCATTGCTTCTTTCGGAGCTGTAGCGGTAGTACGACTGGATATTTTCCTTCTTCCAACTAAAAACATATTTTACTCGTACAAACATGTACAACAAGATGTCCATCTTTAAAAACCGCCAAAAGGCTGTCAAAATAGCATACATATATGTGAATAAAAATATGTAAGAATATTTAAAAAAATACGAAGTTAAACATTTTCGATATTAAATAGAAATAATTATTCGCGTTATTAACATTAAAAGTCATAATCACGCAAATTTGATTTATTTTAAAATGTCTAAGGACTGTCGTCATTTCCGTAATTTACAATACTTATTTTATCATTAATTGTTATAGTAACAAGTTTTTAATAATCTTTTGTCTGGCAATATTTTGGAATAAAATTATTATTGCAAGATTTAAAAGTAATAATTAAATTTCATGAATTTAATAGAAAATTGCTTTTATAAACTTTTCATGAATTTTGAATGTGAATATTCAAATGTGACGTAAAACTGCACAGTGCGCATGATCGCGACGTTAGTCGAAATATGGCTTCGGAACAGTGCGGGCCGTTTCGAATATTTTCACGAAATTTTACTTTATCTCGTACAGTGTACAGACGAGTAATGTAAAAAAGAATCGCATTTATTGAAAAATTAAAAGTATAAAATATCGTGAATTCGAGTGCGTTGAGCACAGTTTCGTTAAGGTTACGTAAAACCACGTTTATTTATTCTACTTTGTGTTATACACGTGTGTACATATATACATACGCATTAGTAACATTGTACGTACTTAATTTCAAAGTCCTTGATGCTTCATGTCTTCTCACATCACTTTGAAATGTAATTTGAGTTCTATCGTTTAACTGTGTCACTACAGACGCAATAATTTGATAAAATTCGATGGCAATCGTTTGAATATTTCTTGAAAATTTTTCCGCGGGCAAACGTGACGCCATGTTGCTTTATTGCGCCATCTTCGTTTTAAACTTCGTTGGTGTTTCGTTCAAATCGTATGTACGTCAGTAAAACGCGGCGTTCCTCAAATATTCGAATTTACGAGTTTAAATTTCGCATTTGCGTATGAAACGAAGAGTAATAATAACAATTCGATGATTCGTGCGCGATTAAAATACATCGAAAGAGAAAGAACATTGGAAAGTTGGTTATAAAATATGTGTACAAGTGGAACGGCAGCAACTTACCTTTCTGGAACTTTGAATCGGTGGACGAATGTCGTATACGAAGTCTTTTTTCGTCATCTTCTCGCTGATGTTCCGATTGCACCGTAGATTGTATTTCATGGCGTCTGCCGACATCTAATTCCCGTGATTTCGGTGAGTGTTTATATTCCGTAATTACTGCAATACCCTCGATATTCATATTTTTCAACGTTCGTTTGTTAAGCTACATTTACGCCTGTATGGTAGATTTGCGTACGACACGCATGAACAAGTTTCCACAGGTTTTTACGAAAACTAATTTATTACGTAACGTATTTATTTTTCACACTTTATAATGGTAAAATTACAAAGAATCCTTAAATTAATATCATTTCGTTATCA